TAAATCTCATTATTCAGGCGGGTCCTGAAAACCTTAAAACTAAATCCCATTATCCAGGAGGGTCCTGAAAAGCCGAAAATAAACTTACCTGAACCATGATTTCCTCATCGAGGATCCCTGTAGAATGAATAAAATTTCTTGCCCATGAACCATGCTTTCCTCATGGAGGGTCCCTGCAGATCAAACAAATTTTCTTGCCCCTGTTTCAAACAAATAAAATATTGTTAGTTTGAAAACGTAGTGGTTAGTTTGTTGCATCATTGCTGAAGGTGTCCGCTTCTGCCACTGTCATGCTTCATTCTGACTATCTGCTTCGGGCTAACAAGGAATTTTTGACCTCCTGATCAAACCTCGACCACGAAAACCTTAGAGTGACCCGAATCCCTTACACTCACTTGTTGTATTGCGTTCTCATTCTGACAATTATTGGACCTTTGCATTTACTCAAAATTCAAGAATCACTTGATCGCCTGAACTTCGGTTATCACCACATTGCTCATTTTGAATCATGTCACTTGTGATGTGCTTGGCTGAACTTCGCTTTGTGCAATTAAAAAGCTGGTAGTAGGCTTTGAAATCCTTTCTTGCTTGTTTTACAAAGACTAACTTGAAAGAGACTTAGAAAAATAGAACCAAAAGAACAAAGTGAAGTGATTTTTGGCAAAAGGAACAAAAGAAAAATTTGAATAAAGATGACTATTTGAAGAAGAGTGGAAAAGAGACTTATCTGAGTGAAGCAGCTAGATCCAATGATCATTACATGCATTTCGGATTGATCAGCCTAATCCGTCCGACCAATCACACTTTCAGTTTGTATCATGTCTTCATACTTCAAAATCGAGCCTTCATGATCTAACTTCTCTGTAAAGTCCATGATCCTCATTTGACTTATAGTGCCTCGAAGGGTTTTCACCATCAAGCCTTTCTCATTTGTTCATCTCTCAACTCACCGTCGCCTTACGGTGCCCATGAGTATTTTCACCAATAAGATTCTCTCATTTTAATTTTTTCTCTCAACTCACCATCGCCTTACGGTGTCCGTGAGGGTTTTCACCAATAAGACTATCTCATTTTATTCATTTTTTCTTGTGCCCATGAACGAAGTATTATTCATGATATAAGAAAATCATACCTCCATCTCGCTTGACTTGGCATCCTCAAAGATTGATTGGAAGGTCTTTCTTTGGACCGTAATGTAGGCTTTTGGACAGGGTTAGAAAGAAAGGGTGGCATGAAGGCTCAAAATAACGTAAGATGAAAGGGTTTAAAATTACAACTTTTGAAATCAGATCTTTTGCAAAACTAAAACTTCTGCCCCAGTTTCTTTGAGTCTGGGGAACTTTGAATTTTTATTTTGATGGGACCGAACCTTAGAGTAAGGCTGCCTACGTATCCTTAAAAGGAATCAGGTCGAACTTAGTTCCAACCACAATTTGTTTTGTTTTGTTCTTTTCTTTTTCTTTTTTTTTTTTGGTTTTTTTTCTTTTTTTTTCTTTTCTTTTTCTTTTTTTTCTTTTTTCTTTTTTCTTTTTTTCGTTTCTTTTATGTTTTTTTATTTTCTATTTTCTAAATCTACTTCTGATTCCAAAAGAGGGGTATAAAAGAAAATAAATAAGGCTAAAAAGGGATAACAAAGGATAAAAGTGTTTGGGTAGCAGAATAAAATGCCTTCGTCATTCCAACTTTGAACATGCCAAATACAAAAATGCAATCGAAGATAAGCAAAGAAATCATACATAATATCTCTTGACTAGATCAGATTTGATAGCCATACCCATATATTTGCCTTTTATGTCTGTTAAATACAAAGCACCATTGGGCAACACTCTTTTCACAATGAATGACCCCTGCCAGTTTAGGGCGAACTTGCCTTTAGTTTCAGCCTGATGTAGAAAGATCTGCTTCAATACCAGTTATCCGACCTCAAATTTCCGGGGACGTACCTTCTTGTTGTATGCTCTTGCCATTCTTTTCTGATACAATTGACTATAACACATCGCTGCTAATCTTTTCTCATCAATCAAACTCAGCTGCTCTAGCCAGGTTTTGACCCACTCATCATCATAATTTCAGCTTCAGCGATAATTCAAAGGGACGAGGTCTCAACCTTTTTTCCCTCAAATGATGCTTCTTCATCATATTCAACTTCTTGGTTCATTATTTCAAGACTAGACTAGCTTTTAAGATCTGGCTGAAAATTCCTCATGCATGTCGTGTCATTGGAACCAACATAAAAATAACTATACTAAAGAAAAATAAAAATGAAACACACATTAGGAATAACGGAAAACGGAAAACTACATTTCATCAAGAATAAAAGGATAGAAGGGTTTGAATATCAAAACAAGCAAAAGTGAAATCTGGGTTACAACCCTGAAATAACCCAGATAATAGAAAAGAAAACAAAGCAAACTACAAAAACTCTTCCCGTGTGGGGAGAGGAGTAGCTTTTCAATCGCTAAGCTTCACATTCGGTCCAACAGGATGCACATCTGTGTTGCTAGAACCTTCCCCAATTTCAACCTCAGAAAATAGGCTCTGGGACCTCTTGATCAGCTCTTCATCACCTTCAATTACTAGTTTCGGGACTGATGATATTGAATGTTTTGCAACCCCTAACTTGACAAAAAACTTAGAGACGTACATGACAGGCTTGGTAGAGCTCCCAGACTCCCCATCTTTACGAACTATTTTAATCATGTGTGTCTCTGCATGGGCTGGCAAAGGATTTGGTTGATGTTTGGCGTATCCGGGCTCTGGAGTACAATTTGATTTGTATCATTAAGCTCTTGGATTGCCCTCTTCAAATGCCAACACTTCTCTATGTCATTCCCTGGGGCATCAGAACAATATGCGCATCAGAGAATAATCAAAATTCTTTGGAAGTGGATTCAGTATCTTTTCCTCAATCGGCCTCAACACGTCCAATTGCCTCAACCTTCAAAACAAATTGGCATAGGACTCTCCGAGAGGGGTGAAGGTTTCTTTCCGGTGCTGCCTTTCTCTTTTATACTCAGGACCGGGTCGAAAGTTCGAACTAGTAGTGTTTCGGTAGGGTTGTGGGTGTGGTTAAGAGTTTTGTGGAGCTGGTGCATGCCTCTGCGTGTAAATAGGGGGTTGAGCATATGACTGTGCGTGATAAACATGGTATTGAGGGTCTGGTGGTAAAATAATATTATGGTAGATTATATGGAGCTTGGATGTAGCCTTGGGGTTGGGGTCGAGGCTGAGTATATTGGTGAGGCGGACCCCTTGGGCTACGTCGTGGTCCAGAAACAACCATAGCAACATCATCCATTTTCTTCTTAGCCAACAAGTTTCCTGTGCCATTCTGAATTGCCTGTGTGGTTATTTTTATAGCGGAGTAGCTCATGATCTTTCTTGACTTGAGTCCCTCTTCCACCCTTTCTCCCATCTTTACCACATCGTTAAAAGGCTTACCTATGGCTGAGATCAAGTGGCCAAAGTAAGTAGGCTCTAGGGCTTGAAGAAAGTACTCGACCATCTCGTCTTCTTCCATCGGAGGATTGACTCGAGCAACTTCTTCTCTCCATCTGAACCCGTATTCCCTAAAGCTTTCATTAGGCTTCTTTTCTATCTTGGTTAGGGATAGGTGATCCGGGACAATGTCTATATTGTACCGAAAGTGCCGGGCAAAGGCCTGAGCCATATCGTCCAATGTATACCACCTGATAGCATCTTGGTGGGTGTACCATTCCAGGGCTGCCCCACTCAAACTCTGACTGAAATAGGCCATCAACAGCTCGTCCTTCCCACCAACGCCTCTCATTTTACTGCAATAACCTCTCAAATGGGCCACAAGATCTCCATGTCCGTCGTACAGATCAAACTTTGACATCTTAAACCCGACGGGTAGTTGGATGTCAGGGTACAAGCATAAGTCCTTGTAAGACACACTTACTTGGCTTCCTATCCCTTGCATATTCCTTAAAGATTGCTCTAAACCATTCACCTTCCTGAATATCTCATCTTGCTTCACATTCTTAGCGGGCTTCTCGGTTTCAACAGGAGGCTCAACGGGAAGGGTATAACAATAGGGATCTGGGACCTTGAAAGTTGGTTTTGGAGCATAGTATTGGGCATCGTGAACTTTCAATGCGGGTTCATTAGAAGATCGATGGATGGTAGCTTGTGGAGGGACTACAAAAACAAGAGTGGATGTTGGGGTAGTATATGGGTTTGTTTTTGGCCGGTGGAGCATGAAATGGTTGGGACGAGGTGCCAGGGTAGTAGTGATAAGGGGTAAAGCCTGGTGCATGTTGAGGGGAAAGATCAACGGTAGTGGGAATCTGGGATTGTGATAGTGGTGGGATAGTGGCAGGGCTTTCTATGTAATTAGTGGGAATGAGGGTGGAGGATGCCCCCTGATCCAAGCCTGATACATCTCTGCCATCTGTTGTTTCAACCTTTGGACCTCCTCTTTCAACTTAGATTCCGATTCCACAATCTCCCTCGATGGGGCAACAACACCTGTATCCAATTCTTTACTAGCCATGACTGCCTTGCGCTTTGACCTAGTATTATATGGATGACTCGCCAGAGTGCCACAAACTAACCACCATCCTGACTTACAATAATAAAGGTAACAAAGAGGAACAAAACAAATCCAACATGTTAGCGTTAGGGCATTTATCACTTAATAATATCACATTACGTGCAATGCACCTAGCAACAATTTATGGTTCTAGAATGACTTTGAGGGTCACAAGATCATATGGCATCATCCAAATTTGCTCGTTCCAACCTTCCTCTTTTATTGTCTCTTTAACGCTCTTTGATTTACATCATTTTCTTTCCTCTCTTTCTCTTTCTTCTTACTATTCTTTTCTTTCCTCTCATTCCTCACATCCCACAACATCATCTCTTTTTTTTCCTTTAACTTTAAAAATGATTTGATCGAACCCGATATAGATTGCCTACGTATCATGTTCCACATGAATCAGACCAAGCGTAGTTCTGGAAAAGTGATGGACAAAATAAACTAAAGAGCAAAAAGCTTTTTGGATTTTTCATTTATAACTTTTTTTTTGGTTTTCAAATACAAATGGGAAGTACGATGACAAAAGACTCGACAGACTCAGCTAGACTATGACAGACTCTGACATCACCTAAAAGACTCAATACTACTGGACAAGACAAGAAAGTAAAATAAAACATGGAAACAGACTTAAAAATATAAAAAGTCTCCTCAAACAGCTTCTGAAGGCAACAGTCCTGACTGGGATGGTCCTAGGGCGTCTGTCATGCTCAAGCTCTGGTAAGTGGATCCAAACCTGGATGAGAAGGATAAGAATAAACAGAGTTAGTGACTCAAGACACAACATGAGCCATAAAACCTCCTATTGGACACATGCAAGACACGATTAGGGCATTTTTTGGAAACTGGCCTACATGGCCAAAATGTGGCTAGAAATGCAAACTCAATAAGGTGACCTCTAAGACATGGAAACACCTCACGAAGTACTATTTGGCCTTAAACTTCAAGGAATCATAATCCCCAAAATTACTTTACAAAAATGACCCATTTGCAACCTATGTGGCCAAAAATGACTGAGCATGCAAATTCAGCAAGAATGGACCTTAACCTAAGAGGACACCTTGTTGTGGACTTAGGAATCTAAGACATAAGTTAACAAGACACTTTGAGAAAATAGCCCTATTTTGCAAAAAAGGTCGATGTGGCCAAGTATGGCTAAACATGCAAGATTTGGCTACGACCCCCGAAGCTAAGAACTTGAGACTCACTAGGAAGACCGGATCCTATGCGGGTTGCCTACGTATCCCATCCCAAAAGACGAGAATCAGGTATGCATAGTTCGGGAGGATTGGATATGGGAGAAATCTTTGAAAAATGCAACTAATTTGGAAAATTTTTTTTTTTTTTGTCTTTTTTGAAAAATGATAAGAAAGTGTAAAATCTTTTTTTTTGTTTTTTCTTTTTAGAAAACGGGGTAAGAAAACGAAAAGTGATAAATCCCTCAATATTCTCTCTTCCTTCATTTTTCACCCTTCTTTCCCAAACATCAATCCGCCAAATGACCTTTCTACCCTCAAAGATACAACGTTTAGCACATAGGATGATTGAATGTCCTTTTGGGCCGGTGGGCCCATTTGACACAACTTGGACAGGCTTCCTATAAAGGAACACGGTACCTAGGACCGGCTCCTGCTATGTCATAATAATATGATGCACATAGTAATGTCCTAAGGCTGACCTATGTTTGGGGTTCACTAACAAGGTAATTCGGGGGAGCGTATGGTCGATAATGGCTGCTCAAGCTTTCCACCAACTCCATACGTCCGACAGCCCCCTCCTAAAATAAGGGTGACTCAACAAAGAGTTTGTGTATGCGACGCGTACTACAAGATTTGTTGCAGAAAGAATTGAAGCAGGGTTATGCAAGTGCTAACAGTTATAAAGCAGTAACACATAAAAGGAAAAAGTGTAAACACATAAACAACTAGCAAATAATAAAAAAAATAAGCAAAATACAAATCAAACAAAGCAAATAAAGAACATAAAAACCTCAAACGAATATTCTAAAAAGCCAACAAGATCAAGTAATAGCTCAAACCTGTAACTCCTCAGCAGAGTCGCCAAAGCTGTCACACCCCTTTTTAACCCTTTAAACCTCTTAAAATGATAAAAAGTGGTTTTTAAGCTTAAAAGGATTTTCAATTGAAAGTGACAAGAGTTTGTGTTTCAAAAGATTTTTCAGAGTCGCCACCTAACATTTGGTTTCGGTGTGCCAGGTCACCATTTTAAAAAAAATAATTTCCTTCAAATTACATTTGACTCTAAACCCGACTGCACCAGAAGTTCTGAATAAGGGGGTTCATTTGACTCGGGGAGAAGGTGTTAAGCATTCCCCAAGTCCCGTAACTAGTACGGTTGCACACTTGATCAAATTGGCTATTAAGAATACTCAGATCGAGGTAAAAACACACAAAGAAAAAAAAATACACAAGAGGCTCGAGGTAGTCCTCACCTAAATAAGAGAAAATAAAATAAGAGAAAAATACTAAAATTCTATACCAAAGCTTCCTCAATGATGTCCTCCTTTGCTTCTATTTACATATATGGCAGGGTATTCCCCTGAGTAAAATAATATTTACAAAAACAAAATCTCTTCGGGGCACTCTCCTGAGTATAAACTAAAGGGAACAACCTCTCACCTCAAATAAAATACCTAAGGTTTGACTACCCATGTATGGTCGGCCAAAATATGCTACTAGCGAGGAGAGATGAAACAAGAATAACAAAATCTTTCTTAAGCTTATATTCTATCTCATTATTGATCAAGCCTCAGGTCCAATTTTAAACCGACAACCGCACGACCAACTTGATTAGTTAGGATCCAACTTTGCTTTAGTTCATTATACTAAAACCTATAGCCGATAAACTGATAACCCAGCATGTACTCAACTAAAGAAATTCAATCGACAACTCAAACAATTATTATCTTATAAATGTAATCTAGCTAAATCAGTGACAAATCATGGGCAACTAAATAATAATTAACAACAAATAATGGGATCAAAGCAGAATATTTAAGAAAAGAATGGACCTCAAGGTGCGACACCCTTTCAATTATAGCAACGGTAGTACAAACAGGAGCCGGGATTGGAAAAGCGAACCACGATCGGAACCTCTGATCGAAATTGCTTCTGGTGATCTCGAACTTGACTTTGGAGCTGCTGTTTTTGTGCGAAGAGGGAGCTGTTTTTTTGTTCTTCGGCTGGGTTTGGAGCGGGTTTTGACTGGTTTTCGGAGGTGTTTTGCTGCTGGTTCTGGGACAGATTTGAGGTCGTTTTTGGAGCTGTTCATAACTGTTTTTTGCTGCACTTCTTGGGAGATTTTTAGATGGTTTAAGGGGCTGATTTTCAAGAGTTTATTTCCATGGAGAGAACGTGAGGGAGTAGAAGACGGTCTGCGGCGGCTAAGGGTATTTTCGCTGCTAATCTCGCCGCCTCCCTCTCTGTTTTTTTTTTCTAAAAATCCCCCTTTTTATCCCTTCCAGTTTTGGACTCTCTCTTATCACGTGAACTTGGTGCCCAAGAAAGGATTTTTCTAGAATAAGCAGATGTGAATTGTAGTTTGTTAGAGGGAATCATGTGGACATGTGAGGTGGGAAGAGGCGATTAAAGATTGAGAGAAAAAGAAATATATATCTAAAAATAAAATAATAAAGGAGGATAAGGGACCGCTTTCACTTTTCTTTTCTTGCTTTTAGTTTTGCTTTTTCCATTCTTTACTTTCTGTTTCTCTTTTTGTTTTTTCATTTTTTAAAGATAATCCAAAGTAACAAACACAAAAATTTAAATACTACTAAATTAAATTAGCAAAACAAATTCCAATTGCTTTAGATTAATAGAGAATAAATATTAGATAGAAAAATATAGTAACTATATTAAAGAGATTTAACTACTACTATTACTAAGTATTTCCTAAAGCCTACAACTTAAAAATCACTAAACTGAGTAAAAATATTTTTGTGAAACTTTTTTTTTAATATATTTTTTAAAATTCTCCACTCGACAAGAACCATTATCGCATTCTGAACTGATTAGAAACATTCCCCCTCCAAGCATACATTATACAAATCTGATTGCACTGATTCAGGTCCAATAATCTCGTCTCACCCAGTACAAGCCGCTCAGTCATCAAGCCACATCAAGCCCCATCTAAAATCTCATATTACGCCCTTCATGCGCCAACAAGCCACATCTCGAATATGACCAATAAGGAAAGAAAACCCGATTAAAGAACTATCCAGCCCGCATAATGAATAAAACAACCAAACCAATGCTATGAACCTATTTCACAGACGAGAAGCAAACACACAAAATAAGTATAAGGAACTGTATCCAACATCTCACCATTGCGGCATGCAACCCAATTCACATATAATACCGTTGCAGCGTATAAACCAATACAAAGATCATACCCATAGCGGCGTGCCACCCGATCCACATGTAACAATTTGTATGGGAATACCCATCGAGCCAAAATGATCATACTCACTAGACACACGTATATCAACCACAAGCATGCCAAGTGCATAAACATAACCCTGAGGAGATTGTCATGATCCAAAATTTAACTAGTCATTATGGCACCTAACCTAACCCGCTAGGTAAGCAAATTATCCATAAACACAATCTAAATGAGATTAACAGGAAACCTGTGACAGTAACAGAATCTCTGTACCTGACCCCAATCTCTACTACTTAAATGATTGACACGTCACACCTACATAATCATCCCATAGGAGATACTCCCACAACCTTCCGTACCAAGTAACAAAATCTGAACATCAGCAGCTACCAACCATGATATTTCTGTAGTGCTAGTCAATCTTCCGCAAATCAATACACAACGCCTATTCCACAAAACACACCATTCTCAGGCGACAGTAAAGTAGCTCATGTATACTCTGAACATCTGAAATCTCCCCCGCTCCTTCAAAATCATGACATTCTTGTCAAAACTGAACCGCAACCTTGATTCTTCAATTTCAATTCCACATCGTTGACTGCATCTATCATGCTATTACGCGAGAGTACAAGAATTTTATCTAAACTCCTGAACCACCAGTAGAATAACACTTTATTGGCTAGAAACCTTTCACTTAACTTAATTCAGAAGAAAAATTACAACACACAACCAACTTCCCATAATCTCACAAGACACACACCTTAAATTGTGGTCTAAACTGTCATAACTCTTTCGGGATCCATTTGCACCTAACAAAATCGTCAAAATTGAATACCTCTAAATCAACCAAATTATGGAGACTCCCAATCCACAAGAATTTCCACGAAACACCTATTTGGTCTTATCATACCGAAGGAACCGATTATTTCTCCTATCTTGTTGCTCCAAGCTTATGCTAAACTAACCCAACTTCTTCGGACTTCCTCTTGACCTGCTTTCAAAATAACACTTATCTTCCCATCATACAATGGATCTAAATCAACACTCGCCCCGAGTGACCCCACATCATAAGACCACGTCATCTCAATACCCATAAGCCATTTTATACCCTCTCATGCACTCAATAGTACCTCCTAGTCAATAGTACCTCCTACTGATATGCCCGTTTCGATGAGACCTTCTGCGAATTCGACAATGTTCCTTTCATCTCTCTAACACCGCACGTAGACCCGGTAATAATATAGAAATACTTCGAGCATCTTTCACACTCCACTGAAAAACCCAATCCTCAGCCACACAATGAACCCGAAAATCCTTAGGCACCACACCTTAAATCTCAAACCTACTAGAACCATTGTATGAAGTCGCCCACTCTAAGCTAGTCCGATTATATAACCAAACAACTAGTGCTCCGTTAGCACATGAATACTCCAAAGAAGCAACCGAGTGTACCTTCCCTTGCACATCACATTTACAATGAAGCATAAAATTCGAGTCATCCCACAATCTTCACATGAATCGATAAGGCGAAATGTAGCACACATCCATTAGATTACTTGATCGAATTACCCATGATGTTCTCTTCCTCAGTCATAACTAATCCACCAATGTACCGAAATCTAGAAATTGCAAAGACATATGACCACGTTACCCAATCACCGACTATAGACTCCCCCACTTGGCATTAAGCCACAATCATATAAACCAAGAACACACAATGACTTCTCCTTCTCAATTACCACGATCATGCACTAATACCCAGCTGAATTTCTTGTAAGTTCAGGTTGCACAAATCATAGCACAACCCGAATTATCAACCCCAATGCACACTCAACTTCGTGACAGTCGTGCCATCTTCCTCGGGTGATCCAGACCCGCATAACAGTCTATTCCTCCCATTGGATAGAAGGTAAAACTTTTCATGGGAACTTCATCAGAAATCATGCAACCCCTAACTTCCTCACAGGAGATAGCCCACATGTGTAACCTTATATCGACATCTTCCAATGACATTCCCATGGTTATAACCACTACGAAATAAGTTAATACTCCTGAGTCCACAATTGTCCACCCGCTGTTAGAGTTCATCCATTCCATTAACATCAACTGAAAGTCCAACAATACGTTTAAAGCTCGAAGATATTGTAGACATGTAAATTTTGACCTTCCTCGAAATTTTACATTGTTTAGTGCTTAGTGTTGGTTTTAGGTGTAGTAATGCTATTTTGATTATTTTTACCTTTTTGCTTTATTTTTTCCTAAAAAAGAAAACAACAAAAATATTTTCCTTGATTTTATCTAGTTGGTATTTTGTCTAGCATTTTTTTTTATTTATCTTACTTCTTATAAATTTAAAAATACTAAAATTGTCTTGGTATTTATTTCCATGAATTATTGATTTGACGAGTGGTTATGAGTTTCTGCACATCACTTTCATCATTGCAGTTTTGCAAGGGTTGGAACGAGGCTTTTATGTGTCAGGAGGTATACTACCGGTATTAGGTTCAAAAATTTGCAGCTATTATAGTTGGATGATATTACTATGGGCATATGAGCAATACGGTACATCGTGTGGTTACTACTTAGGTGTATAGTTATATTTTGGTACAACTTGTGGAGATTGATACAGTGTATGTATGCAAGAATCGGACCTTTTGGGAAATTTCAGATATTGGAATTTGGTTCTAAGGCTTGTGGATTAAGGTAGCATGAAGGATATTCAGCCTGGGTTGAGCTAATATGCTACTATGGATTGAGGTAGCACGAGTGTGTACACGGGGAGTTATGTAGTGATTCGGCAGCTTGGGAATGACTCTTGGCACGTTCAAGGACGAACGTATGTTTAAGTGAGGGAGAATATAACGACCCAACCGATCGTTTCGAACTATAGAATGTCGTTCAGTGGGTTTGAGACCTTAAGTAGCTTCACTTTTTGTATTATAACATGCACGTGTAATCGGTTTTTATTTTCAAGAAGTTCGGAGTCGATTTGGAAGAATAATTCTCAATTCGGAAGCTTTAAGTTGGAATAGTTGACCAAGGTTTGACTTTTGAGTAAACGATCTCGGAATCAAGATTTGAAGGTTCCTATAGGTTCGTAAGGTAATTTCGAACTTGGACATATGTTCGGGTTGAGTATCGGGTATTTCAGGAGTGATTCGGCACTTATTATCGGAAGTTTGTATTTTGAAGGTTTTGAATTAGCTAAGTTTGATTTAGAGTGAACTTTGGCATTATAGGACTCCGGGCAATGTTTCGGGACCTTGAATAGGTTCATTTAGTTTGTTGGAACTAGTGTGCGTAGCTTAGTCGTAATCCGTAAAGTCTAAGTATGATTCGGATGCGTTCGACAAATTTTGAAGGTTTGAAAGTTAAAAGAAAGATTTTGATCACCGATTCTTGATTTTGATATTATTTGTGGCATTTCGAGCCTTTGGATAAGTTTGGATAAGGTATTGGGACTAGCTTGTATGACTGGACGGGATTTCGGGAGCCTCAAGTGTGTTTTGGGATTGTTTCGGACCATGTTGGAGCGCTTTGCTGCTGCTAGTTGCTGGCTCTGGTTTTGTTCTTCACGAACGCGTTGGGAGGCACGCCTTCGCGATGAACGATTTGTGCTGGAGGCCATTTGTGCTTCGCATTCGCATTAGGTGAGATGTGTTCATAGAGGCTTGGGGCAGTGGTGCTTCGCATTTGCAACAGGGAGGTCGCGTTCGCGAAGAAAAACCTGGGACTGGAGGTTAGCCTTCGCGTTCGTGTAGGCTAGGTAAGGCATCGCGTTCGCAGACACGATCTCGCGTTCGTAAAGAGGATTTTTTGGTAGCTGTAGATTTTGCCTTCGTGATCGCGAAGAGTTTTCCGCGATCGCGAAGAGGACGGGCCTGTGCAGAATATAAGTTAACAAATCGGAAATTTGTTCATTTCAACTCATTTCTCTTTTGCTAAGGCAATTTTGAGCAATTTGGAGGAGCCATTTTCATCATCTATCATGTGGTAATGATTTTCACTTGTTGTGAGTTAAATACATGGATTATGTATGGATTTAAACATTTAAATTGGTAGAAATTATGGGATTTAGGAAGAAAACTTAGAAATGGTATTTTGTTTTAGTTTTGATCACGAAATTGGATATGGAATTAGGAATA